TGTCATTCTCCTAGGTGATTTCAATATTTTTATGGACAATGTAAACCTTTCACTCACCAGAGACTTTACCTCCTGCCTGGACAGTTCTGGATTTCATCAGTATGTTGATTTCCCCAGCTACATAAAAGGATATTCGCTGGATTTGATTTGCTGCTCTGGTTCAATCCCCTCTACTCTCCTGCTGATGATGTCCATACTTCTGATCACTTTCTTCTGTCCTTCAACATTTCCCTGTCTCTCTCCATAATCAAGCCTGTCCGACAGATTTCCTCCCGCAATATTAAGAACATAAACACAGACATTTTATCTTCCCACATTGACAATATCCCACTTCCTGCTCTTTCCTCTCCAGCCCACCTTGTCACTCACTACAACTCTGGACTGTCCAATATTCTCAATTCCCTTGCCCCTCTCAAAACCCGGTCTGTGTCCTTTTCCCCCTCTGCCCCTTGCTTTACCCCTGAGCTCCGCCTCTTGAAAGCCAAAGGTCAGCAACTTGAACGCCTCCACAAAAAAACTGGTCTCTCCATACACAAAGAAATGCATAAAACTCAGCTTCTTCACTATTAAAACTTAATAGCCATTACTTAATCAAACTACTATTCTGACCTTATCTCCTCCAATGACGGAAACTCCAAGTCTCTCTTTTCTATTATGCACAAGATTTTTGACCCCCCTGATACCCTGCCTTCTTACATGTATTCAAGTCAGACTTGTTTGATAAGTCAGAATAAGTGAGTATTCTTTGATAACCTTTTTTAATAAAAAAAAGAAATCAGCTCCATTCACCAGCAATTCCGAAGCCAGTCATTCTCCTGCTTCCTACTGTTCACTTCTTCTGAAATTTCTGACCTTATTCGAAAATCCTAGTCCTCTACCTGTTCTCTTGACCCCATCCCCACAGCTCTGGTCAAAACCTGTCTTACCTCCCTCCTCATCTTCATTACTTCCATTATTCATTCCTCACTCTCTTCTGGTATTGTCCCTTCACAAAACTGTATCTGTCTCCCCGATTCTGAAAAAGCCTGGTTCTGATCCCACCAACTTTAATAATCTTCGTCCCATTTCAAATCTTCCCTTGATCTCTAAAATACTTGAAAAAATAGTGTCTGCTCAACTCCACACCTTTCTTACCCTCAACAGTCTTTACGAGCCTTTCCAGTCTGGTTTTCGCCCCTCTCCTAGTACTGAAACCGCCCTAATAAAAATCACAAACGTGCGGCCCTTGATACCATTTCTCACCCTATTATTCTCCTCAAAAGATTATCCTCTCTTGGCATCTCTCACACCCCGCTTGACTGCTTCTGCTCATATCTCTCTGTCCGCACTCAGTTTATTCTACTCAAATCTTTCACATCACACCCTCCCCCTGTCACTACTGGTGTCTCTCAAGGCTCAGTTCTTGGCCCCCTCCTCTTCATCACCTACCTCCTTCCCCTTGGCAGTGTTTTTCGCAAATTCAACATTTATTTTCACTGTTATGCAGATGACACTGAGCTTTATCCAGTAAACCCACTTCCTCACTCCCCCGTTGTCCCTTACTAACTGCCTACTTGAAATTAAAGACTGGTTCACCTCAAACTTTCTTAAACTAAACACTGATAAAATCAAACTCCTCCTCGTTGCCACTAAATCCACCCTATCCAAAACCAATAGTTTCTCACTACCCAGGTCTCCCCCTCCCCTCAGGTCAAGAGTCTGGGTGCCAGCCTCGACTCCTCCCTCCCAATTCAGACACACATAAATAAAATTACCCTGTCAGCATACTTCCACCTTAGCAACATTAACCGTCTCCGTTCCTCCCTCAACACTCACACTGCCTCTGTCCTTATCCACAGCCTCATCAACTTATTGTATTTCTCTTCTTTTCGGCCTCCCTCATAAATCCCTCCATAAACTCCAACTTCTTCAGAACTTAGCTGCTTGTGTCATCACAAGAACCCCCTCCTTTCATCATATTTCCCCTGTCCTTTACCAACTCCATTGGCTTCCAGTTCAGTTCAGAATACAATTTAAAATCCTTCTCTATACTTTCAAAGCCATCCATAACCTTGCACCTCCATATCTGTCAGACCTACTTCACATTGCTACCTCCTTCCACTCCCTTAGATCCTCCTCCTTTATCCACCTCAGTGTACCCCCAGAGCCTTCAGCCGCTCTGCTCCCCAGCTGTGGAACTCACTTCCTCCCAACCTCTGCAGTATTGACTCTCTCTCCTTATTCAAAGCCACTGGAAACTCATCTGTTCCAGCTCGCTTATTTGTAAATACACTGCTCTTGTCCCTATGTATAGCTGTTTTAATGTTGGGCTAAGGGGGTATAATTTTCTAAATCCCTTCTCTAGGAATACTGGTTAGGATAAGCTTGTATTTATTTTAATCCTGGCGGTAGGAAAGTAGCATACAGATCCAAGACATCCAATTGTTTTATCATTAGACCAAAACAAATTAATAGTTAAACTCAGATATTTCCAACAAAATGAGTAAAGATGTTTTTTTCTACATCAAGGCTGATAAATACCGATTCAGTGTAACTATTTTTGATGTGATTAATGAGGTGGAATCCCTGTCTTACACTGTCATGAGTCTGCCTAAATCCTGTATGGTCATTATCAGTAAGGTCTTGGTTTATATTTTTGAAACATTTAGTGATTATTGATACAAAGAGTTTATTGCGTGTCTTTATGATGTTTAGTTATAATTCTGTTCTGCTTTGTTCCTGTGGTTTTGGATTTTGGACTGTCCTCATAAAAGTTCTTTTTGATCCACATGGTTCATATTGCTTTTTGATTTCCATAAATCTCATTTAGAGTTTATATGTTTAAGATCTGTTATAAAACCATAGAACCATTACTTTTCTTTTTTCCAATTGTAAGGATTTAACCAATTAGTCAGTTCCCTGGTCTACTTTTCTTCTTCCTTCTTCTTTTCTTTAGTTCACTCCTTAATTAAAACTGACTTAGCAGCATCCGAGATTGTGCTTGGGAGAACAATCTTTAATTTAAGTGATATATTTTTAAATGTGCTATATATATTTTTAGATATCAAACCGAATTTCTAGTCTTCTATTTTTCTACTCTAAAGATGTAGGATGTTTCTTAGAATGGTCATGTTTAGTATTTAAGATATGCCTCTGTTGAAATATATCACATTGTTTATTCTTTTCATTTAAGCCTAGTTCTTAAAGGAATAGTACACCCAAAACATGATTAGCCTTCATTTTCTACTCACCCCCATGCTGAACAACACTCTGGAGTTCTTTTTTGATATCTCAAATGCATCTGGAGATCTGGGAGGCTTCTTGCTGTCTGCTGACATTCAAATAATGGAGGTCTATGGTGCCCAAGGCAGAAAGGTCCATAAAAGTCCACAAAAAACGTGTCAATATTCCTCCATACTGCTCGTCCAATGTATTCCAAGTGTCCTGAGTGGGTAGCATCCAGAATTTACTCGAAACAAAGTCATTTAGAATGTTTTTAGAGCATAAACAGTAGTGTATAGGATTTCCTGAAAGCGCGCCCCTGCTCGTTCACGACGCTACGGAAACCGCGGCAGACCAAACCAGATGAAAGTGCGCATTCAGCTCAGCAAAGAACTCATGCTCTTCCTCAACACTGAAGTCCTCAGACAGTTTTCTTTCGTTGTTTCTTTCTTTGCACAGGTAAACAGCACATTTCTTCTTCTACGCTTGCATTATCGGCAGAGCAGACGCTGAATGCGCACTTTCATCTGGTTTGGTCTGCCGGCTTCCGTAGCGTCGTGAACGCGCAGGTGCGCACTTTCAGGAAATCCTATACACTACTGTTTATGCTCTAAAAACATTCTAAATGACTTTGTTTCGAGTAAATTCTGGATGCTACCCACTCAGGACACTTGGAATACATTGGACGAGCAGTATGGAGGAATATTGACACGTTTTTTGTTGACTTTTATGGACCTTTCTGTCTCGGGCACCATAGACCTCCATTATTTGAATGTCAGCAGACAGCAAGAAGCCTCCCAGATCTCCAGATGCATTTGAGATATCAAAAAAGTACTCCAGAGTGTTGTTCAGCATGGGGGTGAGTAGAAAATGAAGGCTAATCATGTTTTGGGTGTACTATTCCTTTAAGATAAAAAAAAAAAAAACTTCAAAATGATTACTTTGTATTTCTTTAGGTTATTTAAATTGACAAAGGAAAGGATTAACAAAAATTAATATATAACCACTCGTTCAAGCCTTCAACATGGGGTGTGTGTGTGTGTGTGTGTGTGTGTGTGTGTGTGGGGGGGGGGGGGGGGGGGGTGGTTCTCAGAGGGCAAACAATTAATGAAACATTATTTCTGCGCTTTAGTTGTCGGCTTAAATAGAATAAATACAGGAAAGATTGCCTAATACACTGCTCCCTGTGTTTTAGTGCTTTCCTAATATCTGTGTAAGCTCCTCTCTTTTTAAATAGTCCTCTTGGGTGGTCCTGTTCATAAAGCACTATTTTTAACACTACTTAAAGTAAAGCAGGAAAAATGTTAAGGACAGATTCTTTAATGCAAAACCCAATTAAAGGAACATTTTCCTACAACTCTGAATGATAACTTCCGTACACTTCACTTTCTTAGTTTTATAACTAGTGGCAATAATGTTAAATTGTACTTTATCTCATTATGTAAAACTATTTATTTTGGTATGTAGTGAACAACAACTTGTTGTAGCACCAACCAAAAAGAAATTGTCTGGAGACTGACACCCCATCCATGCCCCGACCTTTGTGCCTCTTGTCTCTATGCCACAGGATTACAGATAGCCCTTCTCTATCAGTCCGGCTATAGGATGTGTCTTTATTCTGTGTATCTTTTACAGACAAGAACACTGTCCTCAATAGATGGCCTCTGTTCACACATTTATAATCCACCATGTGAAGGAAGGCCTTCTACTCCATCTAATCTGGTTAACAGATTAGCAATATACATGATAAAACTAACAAGATACATGTTTATGAGCAAATCTGAGACCTGCTTACATACCTGTCAACAGCGATGGCCAGAAAACTGGATATTGAGCCAACAAATGACATGCAAAGTAGGGAGTCCATCACATCATCTAGATCAGTCTCAGTAGGACCTCTCTTCTTCAGGTGCCCCACATCAGCAAAAACTATCATCAGGTTTTCCCAGGTTTTTGACAAGCTGGCAATGGTGTTGAAGGCAGCCAAGCTGCACATGAAGCAGTACATGGGTGAGTGGAGGTTTCTCGTGCGTATGACAGCCACCACAACCAAGAGGTTCTCCGCCAGGCTGACAATTCCAACGGTGAAGAAGACAGGAAAAGGGACCTTTACCTCAGGACAGTCTGTTTGGTTCATTGCAGTATTATTCATTGCCTTAGCTGAATTAAATGCTGAAAAACTTGTGAACGAATGCCTAGAAAAAATAAAGGTAAAAAGAAATATTAAACTTTCAATTAAAAGAATAAATGTATCAATTTAAACATTTGGAAGAAATGTAAATTTATCAAACTTACAAATTTACTGTATGGATATGTTTTTTCTACAGGCATGTTTAGGTTCAGTTATAATAATTTTACAAAAACAGCAATTAAAAGGTTTTTCATATTGCTTGATTTGCATTCGAGTGGATAATTAGCTTTGTCTAGCCAAACTTTTGTGTGTGGATAAGGTATGAAAGCTAAAATCGGGATCAGATGTTTAAACAAGCTCTTTAAAAATGTGACATTTACCTTAGATAAGTCAAAGTTACAGCTAAATACCTAATCTAACACCTAAGGTGTAAAAATTGATCTATAGCATATCCTGAGAAGCTAAAGCAAAATAGGTATTTGAAGGCTGTACAGAGTGTGGGACTAAATATTCAGCTGGCTGGTGGTTTTTAGGTAACTGATTAGATGTAATTCCTCTGGTTATTAAATCATTAAAGGGGATATTCAGAAAAACTCAGGAATAATCAGAAATTCTCAGATTAGTTTAAGATCTCTATAGTACACTGGAGAAAATGTTTTTCTTGTCAAAATAAGTTTGGTTTAAGTCTCTAAAAATGAAGTGTTTATAAAATATAGAATAGGGCTAGGCCATGGCATAGTTCACAGGTGGAGAGCAACAGCTGATGGTATTAAAACGAGTGAACTAAGTTATTTTCCGTTCACACAAATGGAATCTCTAAAGGAGAAAGTCCAGTTGCAGTTAAGATGTGTCTGCTGTGCACACATTTGATTCAAGGTGCTTACTACAAAATGGTGGGTTAAAAAAACAGAGGTAGTGCAGTCTGGTTTGGAGTTCCTCATTCTTGTGTTCAGTTTGTTCTTAGGTTTAGAAATAACCCCAGTTAAAGGCAATCTCAGCCCCTAAGGCATTGCAAAATTATTTTAAACTTCTGAGATGGATTGTAGGCTACAATCTAATGGGTGGATGCGGCAGACATAAGTGTTTCCATGGATAAGGAGAAATATCTTTGGAGGAACTATTCACATGCTTCAGAAATCATCAGTGATGTAGGGATCGTGATAAAGTGGTAGATGATTTGTCAGTTACAGCCAATAGCTGAAAAAAAGAACTAAAAGACCATTACATGGTTTGCTTTTAAATGAACCAGAGGCGCTATGCCAGCACTGTAGATGTTCAAAGATTAAAAAATATTTAATAAAACTTAGAGCTGATAATAAAATGGGAATTGGCCACAAAAGTCAAATTCATATCAATATCATCCCAAATTCCTCAGTCTTAAAGAGTGATAATGTGCTGATAACGTTTGTTGGGTTTTTTGTTGTTGACAGTATCAAAGAACTAAAGCTCACCTAAATAAACCGAAATATGACTCCATAGCCTCAATCTTATGTAAACTGAATATTTTTCTCTGTGTAGATGTAAGAATGCATCGGTCATTGTGCATTGTGAACAAAATTCATGTTCCTTTTCTAAGGGGCCCTCCTATTGGATTTGGATCATTAGATAAATTCTACACATGATGGTTCCTTAGGAGATGAGGGTATGGATTAAAAACAGACCAAAAAATATCTTCATAAAAAATCAGTTTAACCAACCCTTTGCTTAAAGCTATTACCAGATTTTCTGCAGTATTTAGGTGTGATGTGCAGTGTTCATTAATTATAAGGTTGTGATGCTAGTTCCAGTGAACTTTTTAACATGTTGAAATATCAGTGGTGGCTTAACTAAAATGAAACACCTCCTATAGAATGGTGTTTAGTGTGTTACTCCAGTCTTTTTTATTTACTAAAACCCGAGACAGATTTCAAATAGTGTGACAATAGTACTACCAGGTCTCAACTAGGATTTAGATTCTAATACACATCTATACTTATTTTTATAGCATTTGAGAAATAAGTATTTTCTATGTAAGTTTAAATTTTTTTTATTTAATTCAGTTTGCTTATATAGCGCCAAATCACAACACATGTCATCTAAAGGCATCTTACAGTTGACCAGATCATACAGTCAAATTGATTCAAAGTTTTCTATCTAAGGAAAACCAGCTGATTGCATTGATTCATTGACTCAAATACAATCTCTCACACTAAGCATGCTTGTAGCAACAGTAGAGAGGAACAACTTTTGAACCCTTTTAACAGGAAGAAACCTGCAGCAGGACTACGCTCAGAGTGAGTGGCCATCTGCCGAGGCAATAAAGATGACAGAAAGCTGTAAGAAAGCTGTAACACAAAATTGTTTTTGTTGGGTTTTTTTTTTTTTTTTTTTTTGCTATTGTTTCTTCAAATTTACTTAATTGAACCAAAAGGGGTTACTTAATTTGAACATGTTTTCTTAATTTTTTATTTCGAAATGTAAAAACACTAATGGGAAAAACAGAATAATAGTTGTTCATGGAGTTTCCAAGATCTGGATAGCACTAGCTGCAAACCTTCGGAAATGTTTTAATAGACAGTGTTTTGACAAATACTGAAAGTTGTGCAGAGTGAACCTGAAAAATCACATTCAAACCTAATGTTCACCTCTCAACAAACTTTTCTAATTTCTGTTCCTGACAGTGAAGGCTAGGTTCTTCTTATTCAATGCACCAGCCACTTGTGTCTCCTTTTTGGTGTGAAAGACGAATGTGTCATTGCAACACCTCTCATGACCATAAAGTAACTTTAGGATAATATTTGTTCCTTTCTATTTTTCTGAAACAGTCAGAAGAAGTACAAAAAAAAAATATCTGTAAGGTTTAGAGAAGATGTTAACTTTACTCACATCTGCTATTTAAAACTGCCACATCCTTTTTTTCCCCCACAGTAGAGTAAACAGATTCTAATTTACAGCTTTCTTTACTTCTTTTATATTTAGCAGCGGCTGATGCTAAAGAGACTCGACATATTAAAAAAAAAAAAAACAAACAATGTAGAAGCCTTACCTGTGTTCATATTCTGTTAAGAGAGCCTTAAACAGAAGCTTGTGGTCCCTTTTTCTACTTTTTTGGTCAGTAGTTCTAAAACATCAGAATACAAGGCACCAAATGGATTTGTGTTGAGGAAGATTTTATATAGCAAGCATTGGTGGCAGAGCAGACTGTTATTTTAGCCTTGAAAAGTTCTCTAACCAAGGCAACACTCATGTTATTTTGTCCATTTATTTGTTCAACCCTGCCTCCATTTATGAATCACACAAGGGCAGTCAGTGTGGCTGAGTGTACTCTCTTTCCTCTATCTCATAGTTGTATTTATCTAGAAAATTCATCTCCTTTGTAAGTTATTACTGACCAGAGGTGGGTAGAGTACCAAAAATTGTACTTGAGTAAGTGTAGCATTACTTCATGGTATTTCAACTAAAGTAAAAGTAAAAAGTAGCCTGAGAACATACAGTAATTACACAATAAAAATTGAACTTCAGATTAACACCTCTAAATATATTTTTGTAAGTTATAAAACTTACTAAATCAATAGCAACAGTATCTAAGAATATGTTAAATATTCTTAGATACTGTTATGTATCTATATATGTGTGTATATATATATATATATATATATATATATATATATATATATATATATATATATATACGTGTATATGTGTGTATATATATATATATATATATATATATATATATATATATATATATATATATATATATATATATATATATATATATACGTGTATATATGTGTATATATACATATATAGATATATATACATATATACACTCACCGGCCACTTTATTAGGTACCCCATGCTAGTAACGGGTTGGACCCCCTTTTGCCTTCAGAACTGCCTCAATTCTTCGTGGCAGAGATTCAACAAGGTGCTGGAAGCATTCCTCAGGGAGTTTGGTCCATATTGACATGATGGCATCACATAGTTGCCGCAGATTTGTCGGCTACACATCCATGATGCGAATCTCCTGTTCCACCACATCCCAAAGATGCTCTATTGGATTGAGATCTGGTGACTGTGGAGGCCATTTGAGTACAGTGAACTCATTGTCATGTTCAAGAAACCAGTCTGAGATGATTCCAGCTTTATGACATGGCGCATTATCCTGCTGAAAGTAGCCATCAGAAGTTAGGTACATTCTGGTCATAAAGGGATGGACATGGTCAGCAACAATACTCAGGTAGGCTGTGGCGTTGCAACAATGCTCAATTGGTACCAAGGGGCCCAAAGAGTGCCAAGAAAATATTCCCCACACCATGACACCACCACTACCAGCCTGAACCGTTGATACAAGGCAGGATGGATCCATGCTTTCATATTGTAGACGCCAAATTCTGACCCTACCATCCGAATGTCGCAGCAGAAATCGAGACTCATCAGACCAGGCAACGTTTTTCCAATCTTCTATTGTCCAATTTCGATGAGCTTGTGCAAATTGTAGCCTCAGTTTCCTGTTCTTAGCTGAAAGGAGTGGCACCCGGTGTGGTCTTCTGCTGCTGTAGCCCATCTGCCTCAAAGTTCGACGTACTGTGCGTTCAGAGATGCTCTTCTGCCCACCTTGGTTGTAACGGGTGGTTATTTGAGTCACTGTTGCCCTTCTATCAGCTCGAACCAGTCTGGCCATTCTCCTCTGACCTCTGGCATCAACAAGGCATTTCCGCCCACAGAACTGCCGCTCACTGGATGTTTTTTCTTTTTCGGACCATTCTCTGTAAACCCTAGAGATGGTTGTGCGTGAAAATCCCAGTAGATCAGCAGTTTCTGAAATACTCAGACCAGCCCTTCTGGCACCAACAATCATGCCACGTTCAAAGTCACTCAAATAACCTTTCTTCCCCATACTGATGCTCGGTTTGAACTGCAGGAGATTGTCTTGACCATGTCTACATGCCTAAATGCACTGAGTTGCCGCCATGTGATTGGCTGCTTAGAAATTAAGTGTTAACGAGCAGTTGGACAGGTGTACCTAATAAAGTGGCCGGTGAGTGTATATATATATATATATATATATATATATATATATATATATATATATATATATATATATATATATATATATATATATATATATATATATATATACTGAGTACATTCTTCAATATACTCAATTCAGGAAGAAGCTCAGCATCCCTCTCTCTTGCTCATAGTCATATGGACATCCAGGAGACAGTTCCAGTGATATGGAAGACCTCCTGCCTTGTTCCAAAAACCACTCAGCTATCAGCTATCACTCAGCTATCAGTCCTCAGTCCTAAAGAGAGAATTCTGTTGGTTCATCCTAGCAAGCAAATAAGCAGCTATCACCCTTTAGTTTGCGTATACCTGCTTCAACACACCCAATGTCATTTAGACAAGGCAGATAGCACTGTGAGGATCATGTTCTTTGCTTTACCCAGTGCATTTAATACATTTCAGCCTGACTTACTTTCTGAGAAGACTCACATGGAGGCATCAACTATTGCTTGCATCAAAGATTACCTTACAAACAAACCACAGTTTGTTAGACAGATGGGTCAGCTGTTTAATCAAGCAATTCAGCAGCATAGGAGCACCACAGGGGACGGTACTCTCTCCATTCCTTTTCAGTCCGTACACATCTGACTTTTAGTACATTTGACTTCAGAGTCCTGTCATCTTCAGAAATACTGGAATGACTCTGCAATTATTGTGTGCATCAAAGAGGGACAACAAGCTAAATACTGAGAGCTAGTGAATCCATGGCGTAGGTTTGCATAGGGACCATAGGGACATGTCCCTACCAAAATTTTGGACCGACCTATTTGTCCCTAACAATAATTCGATGTGAACAACATGTTTATAATTTACTATACAGCATTGTTGCAGCATTGGGTTCTTTTCCTCTCTCAGCTCCTCTGCCTGATAGCTGCAGCTGCCAAGTCTTTCCTGTCCCTTTCACACAGCAGCGCATCAACTGTGCTGCGTTGTTTAACTCTCTGATTATTCTGCCTTAAGTTCCACCTTCTCTCTTTCTGACTGCGTGTTTTCTAGTCTATATGTGTACGTGTGCACATGCTTGGTGCGCAAAAAAAAGACGCTAAAATAAATTAATATGTAAACTCTGTCCTGTAAAGAAGCAGGACAGAGTTTTTTGATTTGTGAAAGTTGAAAATTGTAAATTAACAACGTTAGAATTTCTTTTATTTTATCTTTTAGTCAGATAGCCAAAGGTTCCTCAAAGAAAATGTTTTACTAAATGAAACCAGGTTAAACAGAAACGTTTCCTCTTGAGGAGTTCTAAATGGAGAATATTGACAGACAAATACTTTTTTTAAAATCTTAAATGCAAAATATTTGCATATTTTTTTTGCAGTCTTGGTATAATTCCTGCTCTAAGTGGGTCACTCTGTCGGCTAAAGGCACATTTTAGTGGCCCTATACTCCAGTTAATGATTAATCAATTACTAAATTAGTTGACGATTATTCAAATAATCAGTTAATATGATTACTTGTTTCAGCCCTAAATAAAATACAAGAAATGGGCAATACAGAGTAATGACAACCCAGATGTACAACTTGTATAGTGAAGTTAATATTTCAAAATGCTCAGTGTCAGTTCCTCTTATAGTTCCAGTGCAGATGTAAATACAATACATTTATTTGACGTCCATTGAATGTATTATTTTGCATGATACAGATAAAGAATATTAGATTTAAAAAAAAGTAAGAGTGGGTTTTACCTCTGTCTACTTCTGAACAATTCTATATCTTTAGAAGAAAACACAGGATAAATCCACATATAACAGAAATATTTAGACTATATTTGGTTAAATAGGCACTGTCTTAGTCGCTGTTAAGTTTAAATACAAACCTTTTCAGAGTGGAAAAAAGTCCTAATTCCACATTGATCAGAGCCAGTGATGCTTTAAACATTGATAAACAGCATCTAGTGTGTGTAGTGCTTGTAAGATTTTGTATTAATGTAGGAAGAAATGCTGCTGTTCTTTTTAAACAAAATGAAGCCTGATGCTCACATTAAGCATCAAAAAGGAGCATGCATATTTTTGCATAGGACCAATGACATCAGACCAATGGAACTGAAGACCAATGGTGTCCCTACCAAAGTTGAAATCAAACCTACGCCCTTGGGTGAATGGCTTTATGGCATGATATGGAAAAAAATAATCTCATCCTGAATGTCAACAAATCAAGGGAGACGATGGTAGATATCAGAAGACACAAGGAAAAGTTGAATCCGATTAACATCAAGGGAGAAGAAATGGAGGTGGTTGAGAGTTAAATACCTTGTTGTTCACTTAGACAGCGAACTACACTGGAAACAAAACTGAAACCGTCTACAAGACGGGACAGAGCAGACTGTACTTCCTAAGGAAGCATAGGCCCTTCTACGTTTGCAGCAAGATGCTAGTGCTACATATCTATAAGTTTGTCGTGGAGAGTAGGTCCTCCTCTGCTATCACCTGCTGAGGTAACAGATTCAAAGCTAATGAAGCAAAAAGCTCAACAAGCTAAAGAGGAAGCCTGTGTTCCGTCAGATCAGCTTACCCATAGTTAATACGCATACGCAAGACATCAGATTTGCATGTATCCCTTTAGTTTTGTATAAAAAATACACTTTAAACTACCTCAATGGGCGTGTGTCCCTTTAGTCATGTATAAAATATCCAAACAATTTAAGGTCAGATTGCCACATGCTTAAAAAAACACCAAAACGTAAGTAATCAAATTGTTTTTTTTATACATGACTAAAGGGATACACACCTGTTGAGGTGGTTTAAAGTGTATTTTTCGTACAAAACTAAAGGGATAAACTACACGGATAAATGGGGATAAATTAAAGGGATAAACTAAAGGGATAAAAGGGTTTTGACTATGGGTATGGTGGTCTGACCAGGTATGCTCATCTGGTAGAACAGCGGCTATGTTCTAGGAACTCCTATTCGCTTAGAGCTCGTCTGCCTGGCTGTGTGTTTCCTGGATGGGGTCGCCTTTTACAGCTGCTTTTTGTACCTTCTTCTGCTTATGTCTCCTTGAACCCCAGTCGGCCTCAGGCAGATGGTCGCTCACACTGAGTCTGGTTCTGCTGGAGGTTTCTTCCCGTTAAAAGGGAGTTTTTCCTCTCAACTGTTGCTACAAGCATGCTTAGTGTGAGAGATTGTATTCGAGTCAATGAGCTCGATGCAATCAACTCGTTTTCCTTAGATAGAAAACTTCGAATCAATATGATTGTATGATCTAGTGAACTGTAAAGTGCCTTGAGATGACATGTGTTATGAATTGGCGCTATATAAATATGTATGTATATGCAACGCATAGGGGCGCTGCATTAGAGGGGGTGTCAAAACACCCCCTCTTGGCATTTTCTATATCTAACAGCAGAAAATGATCGACAACAGTGACAGCTATGACTATGCACCCCTCTGATCCTTCACCTCCCCTCCTATCGCTCTCCCTTCAACACAGGTGGTTTGGGCACACGCACCTAAGAGAACGCACTCAGGCACGTTTTTTTTTTTTTTATCTTAGACTACAGCTGTGTTTGGGTGTGTTGGGCTGCTTCTTCCAAGGGCCCTGCCTACCTGGACTGGATCCTTAGAAGTCCGTCGAAATAAGGAGGCTGGAAGATTTTCGGCTGTGAACAGGTACTAAACTGATGAGAATCCAAAGTGGAATAAAGATGACAACAACCTGGAGAATGAACAAATAAAAGCCAATGTAATGATATAAACTTTAGTCACTTAAATAATATGCTGCTGTCATTTTGCACATCACTGATGTTGCTCCTATTTTCAAATATCCATTACTGTAAAAATGTCCATAGCTGTATAATGGTTATTTATTCTCCAGGTGTACACTTTACATTAGAGTATTTTATTGTTTATATTTTAACTCTTCACTATTATGTTATTCTTAGACATTTTTCTAAGGCTTGTGTGACCATTTTTTTCAATGATCCTGTTGCTGCTACAAATGTACCCATTGCGGGACAATAAAGAGATTTTCTATTCTATTCTCTTCTGTTCTATAGGGGGTAGAAAGATATAAGTAAATCAGAACAATTTATGTATAAAAAATATATCAGCAAAATCTCTTATGTTCGACAACAAAAAATATTTAGTTAAGCAAGTTGTGCAAAATATCAGTTAAAAATAAAAATCCTGCAAGATTTATAGTTCCCACACTACTTATTAGAATCTGTCCTTAAACTACAGCCAAACCCATTTACACAGTAACAGATAAAAACCTTTAGATAAACCAAACATTACCCACCTTATATCTGACACAGTAACCATTAAAACAACTCTTTTCATTCATTGAGTTCTTTTCAATAGATAACATTTAAGAAATATACTCAGCAAGCCGTCTACTGAAGGGTTAGAAGGCTCTAGAAAAGTTACATTTCCTCATTCAAAAGAACCTTGATTTGGTATTTCCAAATTTGACTGTAGCCCTTTGAATATTTTTTTTTACCATACCTCTGACAATTCCATCTGCAGAGAGATCGTTTAGCAAGCTGAAGCTCATCAAAACATACCTTCGTTCAAATACGATCAACAACGGCTTGTCCCACTCAGCATTGATCTCTATTGAAAAGTGTGGCATGAACTGTATCATTTGATGCTATACTGGATAAATGGGCAAGTGCAAAGTCATGAAATGTAAGTTTTATTGTTACAAATGTTAAAGCTCTGACATGGAGTCCAGGCTGTTATGATTATATATTGTTTAATAATGATGACAGGAAGTAGACTGAAACCCTACGGATTTTCCCAACCTGGGTCGTCTTCTCCAGATTATTCAGGTTCATATACATCTTAGGCCCATACCATGTTCTGTATTTGATGTTTATAAAAAAAAAAAAAAAAAAAAATCCCATTGGCTCTGATAAGACGTCATTACGTGTTGTGGAGAGACTGGTGGCAAGTAGAGACAGGAAGTACAGGAAGGGGGAGGGGCTACCGTAGCAGCAGAAGGAAGCGAGTGAAGGATGCTTATCATCAAACCGAGGTGAAATACAGTGGAGGTTACTATGGGTCAGTGTTACGTTCAGGTAAAACACAGCGATCTAAACGTTAGTTTCTCTAGAGCTAAAGGAAAGGCAGCTCAATCAAATATTAAAAACTAAGAGGAAAATGAAATTGCTCTGACATTAGCTAGATTGCTAGCTTTAGCTGCAAGAACTGAGATGACTTTCGGTTCGTGCGGAGTGTTAACATAAAATAAAAGCCCTATTATACTTATTACTTATTACACATGGGCTCATAATGTACGTACGTACTTCGACATGACATAGTCGTTCCCAACTGGCTGAAGTTGACTCTAGTATTAGCTCGTTCACAGCACTACCTGAGACAGTAAAGAGAGCAAAATGGCAATAAATGGCCCACTTTAATTCCCTAAAAAGCAGTAAAAAAAACTAATGAAATAACGGAACCATGTTTTATTATTACTAATACGTTCTTATCATATATTTACCCGCCTTTCAGAAACTATCTCTACTACTATCTGTGCTTTTCCCCCCCTCATCCGTAATATTGTTCCCGATTCTATACTAGACTACTGTTTTATAGACAGCAAATGAGTGGAAGAAGTTACAGGATCATTTAACTCTGGTGGACAGTATATTGAATTTAGGTGTTCAATTTGCAGCAATTCCAAAAACATGGGTATAAATTAGTGACAGTGGAAAGGGGGATTTCCCTTGAGTGGTTATGAGCGGCCAACTGCTTGTCTGTCTGCCGAAATATACACCAAAACACAGAAGCACCGTCCAAGGTGCACTTTAAGTAAAAAAAAAAAAGAAAGAAATATAAGTTTACTGAAGTTTGCCCAAAAGATGCACCGATCCAATATTTACATCCGTATCAGTACTTACATGTAAGAAAATTCTTCAAAGGGTATTAGTGAACATTGGACCTGATCCATAGGGGCAGACGCATTTAGTGTATTTCTGAAATAAATGTAAGTTAGGTCAAAAATCTCTTGGACAGTATACAGGTTTGCCTATTTAATGGATATCTCTTGGATTTAATAAATACAGTCAGTTATAACACTTAGAGTTGCATATTTGTTTTCAGGTTTAATTTGTCCTGTTAACAGGATTTCTGGTTTTTGTGACTTCCTTTATGGACCCTATACTCATCTAAAGTTTCCTTTTGGGACCATAGTTTATGACAGACTTAAAAAAATCACCAGTGATGAAGATGATATTAAAGTAAACCTGTGGCCCTGTTGTGGACCTGTAGATATTCAAAATTGAGTGTCAGAATCAGGTCAGATTAACAGTGAAAAATAAGGATCTGTACATCCAGCATGTTCCCCCATGTTTAACTTGATAATATGCAAGTAATCACTTTCTAGCCTCTGCCCTTTCTCCCCTCAGCATGGCATGACTGGAGACTGAAGATTACAAGGCCGTGGCAGGAAGACCAGTGAACTCCAGCTTGAATAAATGATGAAGAGCCCAGTTCACAGATGCCGGGATGTGGAACATGGCCGTGGTGAGAGCCGAGCAGGGTCCAACGGCCTACAGCCTGAACAACGTATCCCTATATCCAAAGACTTTATCACTTCTTCCTCTTCCTCAGCAATGTGGTTCATCAGGGATACCTGCGGCATTGTGTGCTCCATCATAACGTGGCTTCTGGTCTTTTATGCTGAGTTTGTGGTGCTGTTTGTAATGTTGGTGCCAGCCAAAAATCTCACTTACAGCATTGTGAACGGGACGTTGTTCAATACTTTGGCCTTCCTTGCCCTCGCCTCACACCTCAGGGCCATGTGCACTGACCCTGTATGTATAGTAGAACCATTTTTTTTTCTCCTTGCTATCCAAATATTATTCTCTTTAATTATATTTAATGTTGTCCTGTTAAATGAAATGTTACATTTACATTCTGTTCATTTAAGGTATTGTGGAAGATTTTTTTAAAAGATCCACCCCTCTCTCCTCTTTAAAAACTATTTGTTTGCAAGAGTATGCACAAGCCTATTTCTCCTTGTGCACGTCCTTTTTAAAACGTGCTGTTCTCATAAGTCATTCAAGCTTCCTGTGTCCACAGACAGTGGGGACTATGGCCCCGTCCACACGAAGTCAAACCCTGGCCTAAACGCACAAATTTTTCACCAAACCAGCCTCTCATCCATACGAAGCCGGCGTTTCGGGGTCTGTAAACGATCTTTTTTTTATTAAGCCTTCAGAGTGGGAAGATTTTGAAACGCCGTTTTCGCGGTTCCATCTTTAAGCTCTAACCGCATTTTTTTTCTTACACGCATGCGTCATAGCGTCGCCTCTAAACACGCATGTGCGACACAGTATCACAACAACAATGGCGCCGTACTGTGTTGAATGGTTGCTGCTCATGCTACTCACCCTGCTGTCGGGCTTACAACAGAATCTTCTTCTTCTGGAATATCTCCAGGAAGAACAGAGCTATATAGACAACATAGTTCAGCACCTGAATTGGACTGAACCACGAAAATAGACCCGCAGGGGTTTTCCGGTTTGGTTGTTGTATAAATATTACTGCGCATGCCCAACATTTCGTTGCCTGTTTTCGCCAATTTTTGCTTTGGCACCACAGCGCCACTTACAGGCCTGGCATACATTTTGCAGCGTTTTCATGCATTCGTGTGGTCGATCACATTTATTTTACGTCTCCGTCTTTACAACAAACGTTCTGGAAAATATTAGCGTTCGTTTTGACTTTGTGTGGACGGGGCCTATATAGTGGACTTTGTAGCAAACTCAGTTAGCTGAATATTTGGAGAGATGATCACTGCTTTTTGCTCTGTTGGTCACGTAACTCCTCCTCCACTGTGCGGTGCCTGTGTTATCTTTGTTATTAGTCGCCGCTGTCGGGTAGTGACAGCGGGCCACTATGACAGCAAATCCCATAATGCTTTGCGAGGAGAGCTCTCCACACAAAACATTCCAGGATATATCTGCCTCTTCTGAGGCTTTTCTTCTCATACACTTCATAGACACTTTTTCTCTTATGACCCTCAGCCATTTTTAACGAACCGCGGTGAGAAAGGTGAGCTTCAATGACTTTCTGAAACAGTAGCTCACCACAGATTTATGCCTGCTCATATGCAGATAGCTAACAGGATGAGCACGTAGGACGGCCATATGTAAACATATCACCAGAATGATTGACAATTAGGAGGACCACTTATTTAAATGATCCATCCGGAAATAAAAGATCTTCCTCTATACCTTTAAATGTAATTTTCAATGATCGCTGAACAAGAATTTAAATTGAAGAAATACAATATTTGTATCTTGCCAGGGGGCAGTGCCAAAAGGAAATGCCACAAAGGAATACATAGAAAGTCTTCAGCTTAAACCAGGCCAGGTGGTCTACAAATGTCCGAAATGCTGCAGCATCAAGCCTGACAGAGCACACCACTGCAGGTAGGGCATGATTATATGATGGCACACATTAAAGATTAGCATTGTTATGTACAAGTGCACCAAACCTTAACAGGTTAGCAAATCTCAGAAAATTGTTGCATACTTGCATATATAGTAATTTTCAATGAATTTAAATTTACCTCTCTTTTAGTAACTCAGTTCAGTATAGTACATTATCCTATTTTCTGGACTATTAGGTACTACTTTTTCCTACGCTTTGAACCATGCTGCTTATAAGAAGGTGCAGCTTTTCTGTGAATTTTTCCTAACCGCCAGAGGGGGAAATCAAATGAAAGAATAACAGGGCAATTTTCATTTAGCACAAGAACATTCTAGCAGCAGGCACAACGGAGAACAAACGTCCTGAAATCGAACATTTTGAGGTTTATTTGCTGCATTACAGCTGCTGAACCAATGAAGACACTCTGGGCTTAACTCTGCAAGAGTTAAGCCCAGAGAAATAAAGAGCCCATCTTTCAGTAGAAGATCTTACTGCTTTAGGGTGGCCATTTCTATAGCACCAAAAAGGAGGACATTGTGCGGCAAATCAATAAATTACTAAAGTGTACATAAGAATCTACGGAAGTAAATTTGTGTCGCTGGGATTTGAATTAAAAATGCCACTGAAATTTTAATGTTGTTTTTTTGTACTTACTGTTTCAACGTTAAAATATATTCAGAACACATTTTTGACCTAAAAAAAATGTGTCATTATTTCTACACAGTTGAAATTTCATGTTATTTTCTCTTCAAGCTAAAAATTCACGTTACTATTTCAAAGTGATTATATTTTCAATACTTATTTTTCAGTTTAATTTTTCAGTCTTAAAAAAATCTGCATATAAAAAAAATTCCACCTTTCAAAATTCAAACTCAATATTTTCATCCTCCTGAGATTCAACTGGCTCTATTTCACTGTCTTAAATTAGGCGTCTAAATTCAGTGTAAAAAGGGAAGGGTTACTTCAGGTCACAGACATTAGCAATAGATTGTGGCGTCCAACACCCAGCCAATCCCGTTACGTTTTCTTAGTCACGTAACATGAAGCGTGTGGCGCTGACACTGAAGGAAAACCAGCATCACGGAGCCAGTCATGCAAGCTAACGCTAACTCAACGGTGAGTTTATTACTTTCATTTTTCTGTAGTTGAGTTAGCGTTAGCTTGCATGACCGGGTCCATGATGCTGGTTTTCCTTCCGTATGAAGGCACCACAAGCGTCACGTCACTTGCCACAAGCGTCACGTCACGTGTCTAAGAAAACGTAACAGGATTGGCTGGGTGTTGGACACCACAATCCACTGCTAATGTCTGTGACCTGAAGTGACCCTTCCCTTCCCTGAATTTCAACGCCGAATTTAAGACAGTGAGATAGAGCCAGTTGAATCTCAGGAGGCTGAAAATATTGACTTTGAATTTTAAAAGGTTGAATTTCTTTATATGCAGATTTTTTTTTAACACTGAAAAATTTAAAGGAAAATTCTGGTTTTTAACACTTTTAGCCCATTTTCTGTAGTGTCCAGGATGAAATCGAATGATCGACACCAAAATTTTGACAATTGGTCCTGTCTCTGCTTTTTGGCTCATGCAGAATCCCCCCCTGGCTGCTTCAGAATGTCTTCCATTGTGCATGTCCGATAATGTCCTTAAAACAACCTTAAACGTTCTTTTTTTAAAATATGCTACTCACCGGGTCGTCAGCGCTGTTCAATGACGTTCCAAAAAAAGTTTCGTAAAGAAAAAACGTTCCTGTAGTGTTTTATTTAGCATTTTGTAAATCCCATTGGGTTCTGTTGGAATAGTCAATATTCCCCTGCCACCGGAAACGGAAATAGGGCCTGTTTACACAGTTGTAGTCTTTTCGCTTCACTCTGTGTACTCCGACGTCGAGAATCAAGAATCCACCTTTCGTATTCCATTTTCAGAGCTTTTTAAAGTGTTTAACAGAGACGTTAGCACCTCGACGTCGGAGTACACAGAGTGAAGCGAAAAGACTACAACTGTGTAAACAGGCCCCATTTCCGTTTCCGGTGGCAGGGGAATATTGACTATTCCAACAGAACTCAATGGGATTTACAAAAAACTAAATAAAACACTACAGGAACGTTTTTTCTTTACGAAACTTTTTTTGGAACGTCATTGAACAGCGCTGACGACCCGGTGAGTAGCATATTTTAAAAAAAGAACGTTTAAGGTTGTTTTAAGGACATTATCGGGCATGCACTATGGAAGCCATTCTGAAGCAGCCAGGGGGGGATTCTGCATGAGCCAAAAAGCAGAGACAGGACCAATTGTCAAAATTTTGGTGTCGATCATTCGATTTCATCCTGGACACTACAGAAAATGGGCTAAAAGTGTTAAAAACCGGAATTCTCCTTTAACAGAAAAATAAGTATTGAAAATGAAATCACTTTGAAATAGTAATGTGAATTTTTAGCTTGAAGAGAAATTAACAAATGAAATTTCAGCTGTGTAGAAATAATGACAATGATTTTTTTTAGGTCAAAAATGTGTTCTGAATATATTTTAACACTGAAACAGTAAGTACAAACATACAACATTTAAATTTCAGTGGCATTTCTAATTCAAATCCCAGCGACACAGATTTACTTCCATAAGAATCAGGTAAAGTCACATTTATAGAACAATTCTTAGTAGTTTAAAGAGGATGCTTGTGTAGCTGAATAGAACAAAATATAAAAAAAAATGTAAAAAAGAATTGGTTCCTGAATTGGTTATTGAAAAGTGTGTTTACTAACTGCTTTTTCGAAAGGTCTTATTAATCTTAGCCAGATTCAAATGGCCCGGCTGAACTACACTATTAAACCAAATAAAGTGGAATGTCCTGTAAGTGGTTTAAAGGAATAGTACACCCAAAACATGATTAGCCTTCATTTTCTACTCACCTCCATGCTGAACAACACTCTGGAGTACTTTTTTGATATCTCAAAGGCATCTGGAGATCTGGGAGGCTTCTTGCTGTCTGCTGACATTCAAATAATGGAGGTCCATGGCGCCCGAGACAGAAAGGTCCATAAAAGTCCACAAAAACGTGTCAATATTCCTCCATACTGCTCGTCCAATGTAATCCAAGTGTCCTGAGTGGGTAGCATCCAGAATTTACTCGAAACGAAGTCATTTAGAATGTTTTTAGAGCATAAACAGTAGTGTATAGGATTTCCTAATAGCGCCCCCATGCGCGCTCACGATTCTACGGAAGCCGGCAGACCAAACCGGAAGAAGGTGCGCATTCAGCGTCTGGTCTGCCGATAATGCAAGCGTAGAAGAAGAAATGTGCTGTTTACCTGTGCAAAGAAAGAAACAACGAAAGAAGAATGTCTGAGGACTTCAGTGTTGAGGAAGAGCATGAGTTCTTTGCCGAGCTGAATGCGCTGGTTTGGTCTGCCGGCTTCCGTAGAATCGTGAGCGCGCATGGGGGCGCTATTAGGAAATCCTATACACTACTGTTTAGGCTCTAAAACGTTCTAAATGACTTCGTTTCGAGTAAATTCTGGATGCTACCCACTCAGGACACTTGGATTACATTGGACGAGCAGTATGGAGGAATATTGACAAGTTTTTGTGGACTTTTGTGGACCTTTCTGTCTCGGGCGCCATGGACCTCCATTATTTGAATGTCAGCAGACAGCAAGAAGCCTCCCAGATCTCCAGATGCATTTGAGATATCAAAAAAGTACTCCAGAGTTTTGTTCAGCATGGGGGTGAGTAGAAAATGAAGGCTAATCATGTTTTGGGTGTACTATTCCTTTAAGGTGTACATTTGGTTAAAATTGAAGATTATGGCATTTTCTTGTTTATCCAAAGAAAAATTTGTTAAATGGAGCTACAAAAATGTATGGAATTTTATAGTTGGGTCATCAGAATAATCAATATAAAATATTATTTTAAGCTCCATTGTGTAATAATCACCTAGATTTACTGACAGAAATGTAAAATATTATAAAGATGTTATTTATCATCAGAGATGTCATGTACAAATACTTCATTACCTTACTTAAGTTACCTTGCCTTAAGTAAGGTAATGAAGTATTTGTACATGACATCTCTGATGATAAATAACATCTTATTGTGGAGGATTTTCTAAATTTTAAAAGACCCACCCTCTCCACACGTGCATGGGTGTGAACAAGCCCATTTCTCCTCGTGCATGCTCTGTTTAAAAGTTGCTGTTCTCATAGCTCATACAAGCATAGTGTGCTTCATATTATGCCTCGGTAGTAAAAGGTATTATTGCCATGAACATATTGTCAGGCAAATGAAAGCTCATAGTGTCAAATTAAGCCTAAAATAATAAGGAAATAAATGTATTCAGGGGCGGATCTAGAAAAATATTTATGGGGTGGCAAGAGGAGGGCAGGAATTTTTTAGGGGTGGCAACATATGGCATTTGTTTACACTGAATTTAATCACAGTTTGGTGAAAATAGTATGTACAGTACTAGTGTTTCATGTGAAACAGTTAATATTAATAATACATCGTACAATGAGATCTCACTTAATAGGAGATAGAAGAGTGATAACACTACTTCTAGAGGGGCCTTATGACAGGAAAGGTATTAAGGTGCTGAGTCGCAGATGTGTGAGATTGACTGTCAGAGAGGCAGCTTTGCAGCATTTGCACAAGAAGAAACTATAGGAAGAAAAAGTTACGCATCAGAGATCTATGGACTGAGCTGGACTAAAGTGAGCAGAACTACACAGTAGAAATAAATGGGTCAAGGCACCCGAACAAGGTACTGGACATCTATGTAATGTTTACTCTGAACACACATTTACCCCATTTGTTCCTCAGTAACTTGACATACAGCAGTTACGGCAACATGAAAGGGACATTTCATGCATGTAAATATGCTGTAGATAGAGCTGTATATGGAGGACCAACTCTGCCATATTTAAAAATAAATACAGAAATAAATAAATGCTCAATAAATAAATAAGCATACAATTAATTGCCACCAAAAATACAATCAACAAATAAATGTAATTAGAAATTATATGATAATGGCAGGCAGAAATGTTAAAAGGGCAGGCAGAAAGAAATAGCGGCGAAGAAATAACTAGGGTAAAAAAAATACAAAGGAAGAATAAAACAGACAAAAATATGATAACATGCACATAAATAAATACTTAAAAATATAAGTAATGAAAAAATGAAGTTGAAGATAATAAATGACAAAAAATAAATAAGGTAAATATTAAAAAGGCAAAGAAATAAAGAAACCAATTAAAAGAGTTATATACCTTTATGACTAGCTGTATAATTTAATTTCTACTTACATTTATTTGTTGTTTGTATTTTTGGTGGCAATCAATTGTATGCTTATTTATTTATTAAGCATTTATTTATTTCTGTATTTATTTTTAAATATGGCAGAGTTGGTCCTCCATACTGCTGTATCAACAAATCAACAAAAAGGCGGGTTCTGTATGTTACATCAAAATCTCCACAAATCTGAAAAGAAGCAACATAAAAATACATTTTGCTTGTGAGTAGGTTCATACGGGTCATTTCTGGATAGTTTCATATTATATATACAAAAAAAGAAACAACAACACTGCTTCATATTAAGCAGGATTTACACCAGTATCACATTTTTAACTTTTAACACTTTTGGTTTTATTAAAGGAAATATCAGATTTTCTCAGGTGCCAAAACAAAATGTAACAGCTCTGTAAAAGCTCACCAGAGAGCAGAACATAAAGTTAACATGACTATAACAGCTGAATGCAGTGATTTCCATGTTGCTCAGCAAAACGCTTCACTAATTTATTTAGATCCAATCCCTTTGTGCGTTTTGATTTGAGTACAACCAAATTTGATCGTCTCTTTTCTGTCATAGTTGACCGCAAATATGTCTTTCTGAGCCTGAGACGTCAGGCCTAACTAACATCATAGTTAGAGAAATAACGTTCTGCAACCTGATTTTTATCATCTATAAATCAACATTGCAGCTATGCTAGCAACATTGTGCTTTCATTATGATTTCATTTCTCTATAGATAGTTAATCAGTTTTTACCTTTTTCATCCCGTGTCTCCTCTCCCCATCACCCCCGGCTCCCTCGCTTTGCCCCATTCGGTTTTCAAAACTAATCAGTCTCAGTCGCTCTCGCGTCATCTCGTGCTGCATTCACTGCAGTCCGACATTGGAAATTAGCGGCCGTAATTCTCAAATGATCCATAATTTATAAGCCTCGCCACCCCTACCGCCAACTGGGGTGGCAGCTGGGGTGGCAAGGCTGTCATTTAGGGTGGCAGTTGCCACCCTATGCCACCCCAGTAGATCCGCCTATGAATGTATTGTATGTCTAAATCAAAGGTACATACTTCTGTACATGATGTTGACACTGACAAGGTAAAATAAGGCAAAAAGATATATAAGATAAAACAAGAATAAAAATACTCTTGGATTGCCATACATACATAGAATAAAGTAGATTCATCCTTTGTTTGAAATAAGGCCTATATTTAGCTGATTAGTGTTTAATAACTTGGTTGACATTTTTTTCTGTATTTATTGACAGCATATTTATTTAATACTGCATATAACCTTGCAGTGGTTTATTTACTGTGGAATTTGTGCTTTTATAACACTGTGGATTGAAAGATTATTGCCATGGTATGGAGTTCTTGACTTGTATCGATATCCAGTTTAAAGTTTTATTATGGTGACAACCCTACTCCAAACAAAGATCTAATCACATGGATTAAAGTATTCCAGCCCCTGGCCAGATTTTCTTAGTGATTGCCCTTGGGTTAAAAAAAAAATCACTCGAAAATAAATGTATGGTAAATAAATAAAAGAAAGACCATTGAAATCCCTCTTGCATTTGTCAGCCAATAGTAGCGAAGGAGTGCTCAGAAACTAACAGCATTAGCCAATCAGAAGAAGAAGGGGGCGGTTCTTAGGAAAGCGATTAGCTCCTCCTCTCCTTTCTTGCTCAAGTTGGCAGATAGATTGTGGTACAGTGCTGAAGTTCTATACTGAAAGTCACCTTGTGCCGTTTACAGCTAAATTCAACAGAGAGACATGTAAAAAGTCAAAAAATAAATAAATGAAACTTTGCCTTTGGAGAGAAGGACGACAGAGAGAACGGAAATTCATGGAGTGGGCACAATGCAGTTCATGAACTCCAGGGAAGGTGTTGCAACAATAGATAAAGGTCTCAAAAATAAATGCCGCTGGGCATTGCTGGGGGAGACGGGACAGCTTGGAGGTGCAGGAAGTTAGGTGAACCAGGTGCCTACTTCTGCATGCTGTGCTCCAGGAGTGCTTAGCAGCAACACTGGATATCAAAAGAAATGTGGTAGATGCAAGTGGTAGATATAGATACACTTTTGCCATCTTCTGGCTTTTTTTGGTAGTGGACTTTCAAATTTAGTTGTCTATCATATATATATATATATATATATATATATATATATATATATATGTATTATAAGTATATTATAAGTATATGTATGTATATGTATATATATTTATATTATTTTATATATATAAATATATATATATTAGGGGTGGAACGGTTCACGGTTTCATGGTCACGGTTTTCGGTTCGGTTCGGTATATGTTGATTGTTACACCAAAATCCCGTAAAAATTAATGAAATCAATGAAAAGATCCAAAAAAAAAAATAATGCATTGTAATTATTTTTAATGATCTGCGGAAACCCTGAATCATTTCCGCATGTTTTGCTGCTTTGAATTTAATCATCTCGCGCATGCCCTCTACGATATCCAAGGAACTTAGAGCGGACGGGAGCCACAGCAGAAACTGTAGGCTTTGCTTTGTGCAGGCTCAGCAGGGCGGAGCGCTGATGGAGTATGTGGGATTTCTGGGTTAGCCTGACATGTTGGTCGTGTTGCTGTTAGCATAAACAAACCATATTGCACAATGCTTGCACACGGTTGCACTTTTATCCACAACTTTCTTTCCACCGTCATCGTAGGTCACTCTAAATGCAAAGTGGTCCCATACAGCAGACCTATAAAGTGCTGCTGGCGCATCTTCCAACTCCTGTTCTTTCCCACTCGCCATACCCACACAATTCTCCACAACAACTGATTTTTTTCTGCTACACCCAGCTACGCTGCTTCGCTTCTTCTTCTTCTTGTTTACTACTGGTGGTTGGCTTTGGTTGCAGTACCGCCACCTTCTGCTCTGGAGTGTAAACGCTTCGCCTATGAGAAAAAGGAGCAGCCCATGAACCGAACGAAACACACGCGAACCGAACCGAACGGTTCGGATGGTTTTCATAAACCGTTCCATCCCTAATATATATGTATATATGTATATGTATATACAGTGTTGTATAAAGTACTGAAATCTCGGAGTCAAATAAAAGTATAAGTACCTCTCCAAAATATGACTTTGGTAAAAGTCCACTGAAATGTTACTTGAGTAAAAGTCTTAAATTATCTGAAACGGCTTGTACTTAGGTATAAGAATTATTGTAAAAATAGATGTACTCAAGTAATGTAGTGAAAAGTATAAGTAAAAAGTAAGTGCAGTTTGAATGATATTTTTTTAAATTTTGGTAAACTTTAAATGTTAAATTCACTTAAAATAATATACACAACTAAGTGTAGGATAAATTTAGACTGGCTTTGCGAAACAGGCGTATCCTATTGGTGTTGATGAACAAGCCCAGGCAAGACCCGACTTTGTAATCAGTAGGTTGGGTCAAAACACTTGCGTTTCTCTTGCTAATTTTTTATTTTTTATTTTACTTAGTAACCAAACCAAACATTGAAAATATATCAGAGTAAAAGTATGCAATTAAGTTTGTAAATGTAGTGAAGTGTAAAAGTATGCAATTCAGCTTGTGAATGTAGTGAAGTAAAAGTTAAAGTTCTCAAAAAAATTTATACTCTTGGAAAGTATAAAGTACTCCAAAATATACTTAAGTACAGTAGTGAAGTATTTTTACTTCGTTACTATACAACACTGTCTAAATATATGTATATATATGTATATATATATATGACTTTCTTGCCTGTGTCTAAAAAGTTCAGGATCAGGATTTTTTTTTTGCTTTAATCCCTGTAATCAGACATGAAATATAAACTTGTTGTGCAACTAAATTCCTTCTCAATGTTTCATTCCCAGTGTATGCAAACGATGCATAAGGAAGATGGATCACCACTGTCCATGGGTCAACAACTGTGTTGGAGAAAACAACCAGAAGTACTTTGTGCTTTTCACAGTAAGTCAACAGAAAAATTAAAGTTATAAATAAGTTGTAATATCAATAACATTGTTTCTATATAGTTTAAAAGGTATGAATTTGCCTGTCCATTAATTGATTATGATTATTAGGGCTGAATGATTTTTCAAAAAATCTAAATTGCAATTATTTTTAATAAAAATTGCATTTGCGATTTTATTTCAATTTTCCTTTCCACTAAACCAAAACTTACGGATGTGTCAACCCCAGGCTTTCGGTTTTGGAAAGCTTGCTTGCCCAGAGGCCATTGGTACAGGACTGTACTGTAATCATTGTACGAAAAAGTGTTAACTTCTACTTCCATTCATGCATTTGCTGCTAGCTGCAAATCTCTTTAGCTTTCTGTGTTTCGACAAACCCATTTCAAGTGTTTAATCAACACCTAAAAGGCTGGAGGGAGAAATGTAGTGTCTTACTCTTGTTAAATATAGTGTGATTAAAAATCAGTGCCTCTGCCTTTTGAAAATTGCCTTTTGTTAAATTGTGATTATATTGCAAATGCAATTAATTGCCCAGCCCTTTACGTATTTAGATTTCAAAGTTGTTAAGATTCTGCCGTGAATTAAGCATCTACAATAGTCTTCAAGATGGTGTGAAAGGGAAAAATCTGGACATTTAATTCTTTGCAGAGTACAGATATTTGATAAGAAAAGTGGTGAAACAGAGAGGCAATTGTACACTGAAGGGTGCTCAGATCTGCCATGGCTGCCATGACTTACAGTTGTTTCTGTTTTTCCTGACAACCTAAGATGCTCCATACAAAATAGCTTCAATTTATATATCAATTTATATAAATGTATTTACTTGTCAGTTTATATTTTTAACTTTCTTAACACATCTAGAGAGCCTGCAATGTTTTTCCTCTCTTCCCTTGCTTCTGTGTACAACACTGTAATTTTATTTTGTCACCAGAAGGTGGGGGGAAATTCTCCAAAACTTCTGAAACTTGTGCTATCATCTTTAAAATTGCACATTTCTATAATGTATGTAAACTGTATATACCCCATGCACATTTTCCTCCTTTTGGCACCTTGTTTGACTTTTGAGCCAATGTGACAAGTGAATTTCTCCACTGTCCTCTCTTATGAAGCCCCTGTCACACCATGACGATTTAGACCAGAGTATACCTGACATACAAATAATCTGGCGAAAACGCTGGCATACGTTGGATAAGTTATGGGTTCAGTTTTGTATAAGTTTTGAGGACGCTGAAGCATGCTGGCACACGTCAACATACGGTGAGTATGTAGAGAAATTTTTAGCATGCTCAAAATTTCCGGACGTATGCTAGCATATGCCATAGCTGGGAGGTTATATGTAAGTTACCTGATTGTTGACATACTTTAAGTGTAAGTTACTTAAAGTTGTGGTGTCTAGCATATCCAAAACCTATGAGTAACTTGTGCATAACTTATGAGTAACTTATCAAGAACATATCTCCAGCGTATATCAATGTATTTGACATGTTCCAGTATATGACCAAAATAAAAAAAAATACATCGAAAGGTCAGCTGGGACGTCTAAATCGACAAGGTGTGACAGGGCCCTAAGGATTGATATCAGAGAACATGTGGTGATGGAGAACATGTGGTGATGGGCAGGCCAGTTATCAGCCTCACTGGAAAAAAATCGAAATCTAGATAAGTTGTTTTTTCTTAAAATAAGTGTATTTGTTCTTGGATTTAGTAGGTAAAAGAGAGATTTTGCCAATTGAACAAGACAATTTACACTTACAATAAGAAAACACAATTGCATTGTCTTATTTCAGGTGCATTTTATCTAATTTCCTTATTTTAAGAGCAAAAATACTCATTCCATTGGCAAAATATCTCATTTACCTATTCAAATTAAGGGTAAATATACTTAATTTAAGACATTTCTGCTTATTTTAGATCCTTTTTCCAGTGGGTTGGGCTCGGGATAAAATAACTAGATGAGGGCCCCCACCCTTAACGATGATAATTAATTCCTAATTCCGTCATGGCGTTCTTTATTCTGACATGTTGTAGTTTAAATTACACTGGAAATGTATATTGAAACTGAAGTCTTAATTGACCAATGAGTGTACTAATTTAACTGGGGAATCTAAAAAGAATTTAAATAAAACATTTGTCATATCGACAATGTACATTTTTAAATAACATTTTTGGCTCCCTATGTTAAAGCACATCATGAAAGTCTGCAGCAGACCTCATAAATCGAAGTCACTATGACTGACTTCTTTGTAGAAAGAATTGATTTCATTTGAAAGACATTTAAAATACATTTGTGATGTTTAAATCATATGAGCTCCAAGTAAAGATATTGAATAATAATTAGTAATTATTGGATTATTTTATTTATTGAGTAATAGGATTTGTATTAATTTGAATCACACATATATCACTTTTTTCAAACAGAAATATAGCAACTTTGCAGTGTAATTTCATGGTACCAACTAGTGCTCGGCAATTAGTTCCATTTGCAATATAATAGCAATTCAACAAAATGCAATGATTTTTGACAGATTTTTAATCACACTATATTTAACAAGATAAGACACTAAATTTCTCCTCCCAGCCCTTTAGGTGGTGATTAAAGGAAAAATCCGGACATCAAGGAATAATCAGTGGATATTTATACCTAAAACTAATACGTTTGTGGTGATTTAATGAATTTAAATCAGTAGAAAAAGGAAAACAATAATTTTCATTGCGATCACTGAGTGATCACTGACTTCTGGCAAGGACGTCACGGTGCAGTAAGCTGAGCACCATTTTCCCTGCTTTACAAGAGCTATAGTTAAACTGACAATGCCCACATGCATGGCAGTTGGATCGGGTAAAAGTGAAAAAAACAAGAGTTATTTTACCTTTCCGATTCATGATCCTCCACGGAAGGGTTCGTCATTGGATGCCAACTTGAAGAGGGAGGATTTGCCATCGAACTTCTGGTTAGAGAAAAAACACGTAATATGTAGCCAACATCTGAACATCATTTCAAGATGACACCAGATACAGCACTGATACTTCATCAACAGCCTATTCCGCATCCTGATATCACAAAGCGGTAGGTGGCAGTAGTGTTCTTTGACAAACATGGATGCCTCCAGTAAATAAAATTCAAAAAAAAAAATTACCCTTAATTAAAAACACTTATCATTTATTGAACAGTATGTAATAATTTAATTTTTAAAGTGCTTTCAAAAGTTTGAATTCTGAAGATGACCAGGCTTTTCCTTTAAATGCTTGAAGTGAGTTTGTCGCCACCCAGAAAGGTGGAGAGATTTGCAGCTAGCAGCAGATCCATGAATGGAAGTAGAAGTAAACACATTTTTTCACACAATGGTTACAGTGCTTGGGGTTAGTGCAAAGGAAAATCGAAATTAAATCGCAATCAGAATTTTGGTAAAAAATAATCACAATTTAGATTTTTTGCAAAATGGTACATCCCTACTAAAAACCTTTATCTAGCAGTTTAGGTTTTAGAGCAGTTTTTATTGTTGATCCTGCAGGCGCAGCAGTGGAAATACCTGGGAGGCATGTCAATCCAAAGCAAACTCAAGAAAATCAGTTCAGCCATCTAAATGACATCTATTGACATGGTCATTAATATTATTTCATTTAGAAAAGATAAACAAAAGGCCCCCAGGGGAACTTCATAGTTTGTTAATGCCATTAGACACAAGACACAAAAAGTGACTGACTGTAGATAAAAGCGAACCAATGATAAGCTGCACCTGCTGCTTGAGGCATGTTCTTCATATGAAAGTCGTGGTGCCCTTTCTAAATCAAACTCACAAAGTAGTTGCCTCACCCAGAGCAGAGAGAAAGATTCAAACTGCGTATACTTCTGTGTCTACCTGTAGCGTACCATGAACTTAAGACTGGAGCAGATTTTGTTAATAATAGGGCCCACTACTTTGTCGATAGGCTACCTAAAAGATCTGTCAGTTCTACAGCCAGTGTTGTTTTTGATAGCCATTTTATATTTAGTCTTAGTCTTCAGGATGACAGCTATTATTAGTCTTAGTCGCATTTTAGTCATTACTATATGTTATTAAGTCTAGTTTTAGTCAGTTTTATGTAGCAAAAAAAAGTTAACATTTACAATTTCGAATAACAACCAGATCCTAGGATTTTTAGGTATGAGGGAGCAGCAAGGGTGGTTCGGGGGGTGTAAGATATTTTACTGTGCAAAATTGTTTTTTAAATGAAGCTAAAATGGGGCATTCTGAGATAGGCAACTTTTTTACTGTTGTGGTCACCCTAAAAGTAAAAATACACTTCAAAATGGCTGTGAAGAAACAGGAACATCCCCCTCCCTGTTTAAAATGCACAAATTAAGCCATTAAGCACACTTTAAATGTATTGTGGCTAGGGCTGGGTATTGTTCAAAAAGTTTCGGTACCAATACCGATACCTTCACTTCGATACCGGTTCCTGAACGATACTTTTTTCGATACCAGTTTCATAATATCAGTTCGAAGAAAAAGAAAATTACACAACATTAAAAAGCACAAATCTTGAGTTTTATTTTAAGCTCTGATTTTTCCATTTACATTTTTCCTCTTACATAAAAAAAAATTTCAGTGTCTAATATTCACTGTTACATTGTGAGGACCTTTTTACTTAGCAGTTTTCCTTTAGAAAAATTACCATGTCTGACAAACAATCCCGTTGAATGGGATCCTACTGACAGCGCACCGCTGGTATGTGGGGGTCTGAGCGGCTCCGACAGAAATATTGGAAGGCAGGATGAACTGACTGCACTGATTAAGTTTTCAGGTGGATTTTCCCGCTTAAAAACATAATAAAACTATTTTATTCCCACTGATCACAGCAAATATAGCTGCAAGGCAGAGAAAGGATAGAGTAGCTCCGCCTGACGCGCATCAGAGCCACTTTTGCACCGCGCAGCCAGAGCAGCAAAGCTTCTTCAGCCGCGCGTCAGAAGCTGGTAGAAGCAGAAAAAAGGAAGCAGCAGACGTGATTTTGCTG